CCCCAAAACCCCAAAACCCCAAAACCCCAAAACCCCTCTAAAGGTTTTGCTAATAAAATTTAATAATGGAAAAGTGCACATACATACTCAGTCCCCCAAGGTTAACTCTCCTCAAAAGAGATAAGAGTTATTACAAGAGCTCTACGAGTATCTCTAAAACCAATATTTTCAGCAGTTCTGAGAAACTAGATTGCACGAGTAAGCAAGACCTCTTTGCCATCTTCTTCTAAAAATTAGCATTCAACTCCCAGATTCTGCAGTAATTGGTCCAATATTTTTAGTTATATAGAATTATTCGCAATGAAATTTTAGTTAGCTGTAGTGCCCAGGTTTGCTGCTCCAAAGCACTTTCAGTAAAATTAGTAGTTTATAGGATAATTAGAGCTGATTTATCCCTCAGAATTTTTCACTGGGTAATCAGACTTACTTCCAGCCATATTTGACAATAATTTAGAAAACCTAAAAGGAAGCTATAGTAAACTTAAGAGAAAAAGTGGAATGTTGAAGTACAGATTGAAGAAAAATGATCAGCATAAAGACAATAATCACTACACTTCGAAAAGAGTCAATAAGCGGGCCAAAAACACCCCTTTCACAAAATATAGTTCTAAAGGTACTTTTGTGCTTAACCAATTAGACTACTTTGCTAGTAGAAATCTGAAGTCTGCTATTTTTGAGATGAAAAAGAACAGTCTGGATACCAAAGCTTCCCGAACCAGCCTTGTAAGTACTTCCTGACTTAGAGAATTAGAATAGAACTTATTTTTATAGATGGACTTCTCAAATCCTCCTGCTTACTTAATGCCAACTGATAAAAAGGTGAAGAAGGTGTCGTGCACTATCAAGGGAACTGCTGTAAGCTATACCACTAAAATGCCACCTCCGAAAGAGAAAGAAGAAGTCTTCAATAATGGATACACCAAAGAAATTGCTAAGATCAAAGAAAAATTGTAAGAAAGATTTCAACATATCTTCTTTGCTCTATTTCAATTGTTTGGAATTTTTAAACCTTCTTTATAGGAGAGAATCTTCTAAAAATAGGAAGAAGCTTCATAGGATGACTAACTCTACCAGATTCATAAAGTTTGATCTGCAGAATAACTCAAGAACCGATCTCGAATTGAAGTCATCTCTGTGAACAAATAGTACTGCCAACAGAGATGTTATCTCCAGTACACCAAAGGATGACCAGACCAAGCTCATTAGATCTATTACCAGCCCGAAGAGGCCAGCTGATCTCTCAGATACCAAGTTCTTATCTACAAATGGAGATAATACTGATGCCTCTGAAAAATTAGAAAAAGAAGACTTAGCCCAAAAATTGAATGAGGCAACCACAGAAATCGCCAAGCTTAAGCTAGATCTTCAGAAAGAGAGAAATTTACGGGAAATGCAGATCTGCAAGCTGTGCTCTCTACAAAAATCTCCTAAAAATGGAAGTACTTCCATATCTGAATACATTAACAAAAGATTAGAGAAATATAAAAATGAGTATGAGGACGATCTCTTATTCCAAAAGTTTGAGAAGATTGCTGCTGAGGATGCTAACCTTGCTTCTAACAAGGGCAGTACTGCTAATTGCTCCTCTATGAATAACAGGTCAATAAAGGCTATTAGCAATGACTCCATCAGCGCATCTAGTGAAGTATCCTCTAATAAAAGATTACTTACTGAAGTATATCCTGAAGAAGAGAATTCTCCTAAAAAATTTGGTTTTACGAATTCTAAATTAATGAGAAAGACTTTTAAACAAACAAGTTCTACGCTTGATCCTGAAGCACTCAAGGCCATGGATAAACACCAGCTTGTCCAGATGGTTATGAAGTTGTCCAAGAATTAAGGTGCCAATGGTTGATTGCTATCAGAAGCTGAGAGAATGCTTGCAACCTTTAAAGCTCATAATCAGTAAAAGTGCATATTATCCATAATTTATTAGGAAAATATTATAATTGGGGTTTTGGGGTTTTGGGGTTTTGGGGTTTTGGGG